AATTTGTATCTTCTGCTATTTTTTGCGAGTTTCGAAAGTACTCATTAATATTTTTAACTCGTATTTCATCCTCAAAAGTTTCTGAGTATTCCATCAAGTTGGTTGAGCTGGTTCTAGCCTTTCTGCAGATATTGTGACACATCTCACTAATTTTTTTGCATATTCGAAGGAAACCTCTGAAAAGGTCATATAATGAAATGAGAGGAAGTGATTTGATCGCTCGACTGAGTCTAAATGACGCTGTAGCGATTAAGGAACGAATTATGGAACAGTTTTAAAGATATTATGAATGGAGCTGAACTTGATAATCATTTTGAATAATGCACATCAAAAATAGTTTGAAGGTGAAGTGCGAAATGAGTGAGTATACAATTTAGAATAAGTTCAATACACATATGACCTCATATGAACATATGAATTTAATACTTACGAATTCATGTCAAAAACTTTAAAAAAAAGCTTATATGCTCGGTCTGCTGGATCGTCTTCCAGTAGTGTAAGGTTTAATTTTTGTAGAGAAAGTTCCATACTGAGTGCTACATGTTGCGAGATGGTGAAGTAGTGATCAGTTATTACTTCAACTAAACGGTTGCAGTTTATGTCCTCTCGAGGCCAGCGACCTGAATTCAGGCTGCGCAATGCATTCATTGTCTTTCCTGATCACATGTGACCGAACGCTTAGGTGGTGTTATTGTATGAGATTGAAAGGAGTGCTTCATGCTTCATGATCCATGCCTGCATGCTCCATTGCAATTCTAATATGCAAATTGCATCAGTGGGGGATATGTTTATGGCTATGTTGTAAATTACCGAACGAGGTTGGGGGTGATCCACTATTGGTGCCATTTTTGCCGCCATCTCTCTAAAATTTCTACCATAACTTTATGATGTTGCTCATTTGAGAGCATGTATTAGAGGAGGGAGAGAGGGATAAATTCTCTGTTTGCTTCTGTGATTCTCTCCAATCGCCGTTCTATAGTAACGGATTAAGAGAACGTCTGAAATTCTCACTCTCTTTCAGGTGCACATTATTCTGTTGATTCGAAATTGTTCCTTTTATCTGTTTATTTGCTAAGCGAGAACGAGATGGTTTATGCACTGAAAAGAACCAGCAAAGAGCTGCCTGCTTCTACTTGAAATGCTTTTTTTTTCAAGTGCGCATCGAACGAGCGCCTAGATCACAGAAATCCTCAACTCTTAAACGATCTTTTTTTGTGGTTTTGAGTGCTCATTCTGCTGCTACATTTGGGTAAATAAAATGGTTCATTGTTATTGCTTCTTTGAACAAATTCAGTGTATGTGTTATATCATACAACCAGTACCTGAACAAATAAGAATACACCACAAACGATTCAATTAATTGCATAATATTATACGTATTGGAGCACCGTTGCTCTGATCGCCATCTTCATCATCACTATTACTGAATAAGCACTCAGCATCTCGATATTCAGGCATATCCGTTCGTCCGAATTCCCTCCTTTCTTATATCTCTCCTCATATCTGCAATCTGTCCATATATCTCATTATATCCATCTGTATGCGTTGCTGTAGTTTTTCCTTCCCAGTCAACTAAGCGCTGTGATTCACTCAAAAACGATTCATCATTATCTCGTCCCACTGATCGTCGCTCTTCGTTCATCACCTGTGCACATCAGTATCCAATCATTTCAAGCGCAACTCTAGTTGTTCTGCTTCGCTCCTTACTTTGCTGTTGATCCAAAGGAAACCAAAAGAGAGTTTTTGCCATCTCAAAGAAGTTGGCTATTTTTTGTCCGGAATTAGATCTCTTTTTGGGCTCGAATCCACCCAGTTCGATATTTGCTGATCTGCATTTTCATATGAACGGCCAACTCTAGAAATGAGCAAACGGTGATATTCGTTATCAGTTCCTTCACTTATTTGTTCATGAACGTCTATTTCTAAGACGATTTCAAATCCGCTGAGAGATTTATTTGATCATCTGCATTCTTCATCATATTCATAATAAACTTCTTACTGATCCATCTGAAAGAACCGTTCGATTCATTGTGAGAATGTTGTGCGGATCATGGTTAGGCGTAGCACTAGGAAACGGTAATGTTTTCTTGCTTGTTTTTTTCATTCACTTTTTATTCTTATAGTTTTTTTCTGTGTTTAAAAAAAAGATTTTTTTCGGCATTAGCACGAGATCCTAATCCATATATTCGTCGATATATGTCCATTGAGAGACGCCTATCTGGCCAAATAAACAAACGTCACGTTGAGCCAAGAGGCTTGAAAATTGATATACTCGATATAAGATTACCCTAAATTCGCAAATGATTGTCCATTTTCCAACGAGCTTCACAAACAAATTTCAATGTGATCTTTTTTGAGCTCTGTATCCTTCTCTAAGTTTATGTGTCTATCTCATCGGTATTCGAAATCTGAGTTGTGATTCCGGAACAAAAATATCCGTTTTGTTTGCAGCACTTGAGCCGTTGATTGCTTTATCGCGAATAAAAGGTATTCATTTTCTATGCCGCACCCCTACACAAATATTTCACCGAGCGATTCTAACACTAAGTAGCTTTTTTCACATGTTTTCAAAATACACTCGGATCAGGTCATAATTGATTTGTTTTGATGTTATTTCGTGTATTGCTTTGATAGGTTCGTCTCAAATGACATATTATTTACAATGCGATTCGACGAGACTAATCCCGTTACAAATGTTCGGAGACAAACACAATTGATGATCGCACCAACTGCGACTAATTAATAAGAATGTTGTTAATCTGACTGTGACCCCACTCATTTCATCCGAAAAACGCAAACATATTCAACGTGATTTATGAGCTCATCCCAGTAGTCCAGCTTATTTATGTTTATGCGTTTTGTTTGAGTTCAGTGCTCATGGATGGTTGTTCTCAACTGGATGCTTCTTCACAGAAGACGATTTTGCATGACCACGTTAGAAGTGAGAGTTTTAGGGCGTATATTTTTTCAAATTCTTGGAATTTTTGCGAGAGCAATGCGGCTGATGTATTCATTCCGTCTTCCGCTGTTCAGTGGATTTCGTGTTTCCTAGATTCTAAACTTTTCAATGTGATACGATCTGAGATCTGTTCCCAACAAGGAAATCTACTTGTTGAAAGTGAACGGAATTATGCTCACAATCAGGAGGATATCTTTATGCAGTTGGAAAGAGCGATTGTTCACTATATGGATCGAGACATTGCCTAAATTAATTATTATGTAGATGGATTCCTACAGTGAATAGAATATATAAAAACAGAACCAGCAGAACTAATGTAGCAAAAAATGTGAACTTCTCCCATATCGATATTCATAAGGTTGCTTTTGCGGAAGCGCACTAATGGGTATTTACTGAATCAGTCGGTGTATATTTTATTTGTTTGTTTATGGTCCAAAAAGTCAAGGCTAGATCAATTAATGCGCTTTTGTCCTTGATACACACTAATTAAAGGGAATTAATCGATGAAGATCAATTGGTTGATACTTATCTTCCTAAAACGGAGACCCCAAAAATGCTTGTACATTTTGGGGTCTCCATTTCAGAGCTGTCCAAATAACGGGTCTAATCAAATGGATTCAGAAAATGACGTGTCAATTATGAGAGTATAATGATTTTTTTGAAAATTCACATTCACTAGTTACATTTGAAAAATCTCCTTTGGAAACATAGTTTACATTATTCTTATTAGTTCATTATTGCCGTACTGAGGACACCTTTTGGTAATGATGACAAAAATGTGCTTATTTCCACTTCAAAGAATGGGAAGGACCATCTCATGCATCTTACTTAAGAATGGGGATTCTTCAGTTTGTTGTAGACCGATTGTCCTCATCAATGAATTCATGAATCGCATCTGGTTTTTCTTCTCAGGAACGGTACTCGTTAAGAATGATTTTGATGAGTAGTGAAATTCTCAGTTCTCTAGAAAGAGCGTATTTGAATGCCCTTAGTTTGCAGTTAGTTGTATTGAGTTGCTGCATCTGTGTATCATCAATGCATACAGTCATCAAGTACAGCCATCCATTTGTAGCCAGCTGTATCGAGAAATTTTATTTGAAAACATTCAGCAGACTCTTTGAATTTTGCATCGACATCTGTTGTTAATATTTTGTTGATTATTGGAATGCAATCTCTTCTTCGCTTGGTCGTCATTTCTATATAAAGCGATTCTTGTATTAAATCTCAATTCCGCTCCATGGAATGTTCTGAAGCCATTGTCTCCGTTGCATAATTCTAATTTGTCACTGTCGAATGGTTCAAATAAAAGGTNATTATTGCATTTTCATTTATTCATAAGCTGCTCTTATCGCTTCATGATGATGACGTTAACAGAGAAATCAGTACAATGAAAAAAACAGGTTAATACAACGATTGGAGGTTATTTCGTATTCTTCAACTAATCTGCATACTAATAACAAATTGATCGTATGCGCGATCGATTTTTTCACTATTCCAAAACGGAAATCGTTTCGGTTTTTTTTCGATTGAATCAGATTAGATTTGCTACGCTCGCTCCATCCTCTTCCCATAATAGCGTAGAATTGTGAGCATCGTAAAAGGTTCATTCCCTCATAGCTAGCGCTTTTACGATCAGAAAATGCCTTCTATCTTCTCGCGTTGTGCGCATCGATTATCTGGTTAGTATTTTGACGTTTTCTCGACTGAAATCATTTCAACAAACTGGTAAATATACAAAGTTCCACATTTTTGTCGCTAAATATTCTTAGCTTACCCTGAAGCTTCGGTTTCTGAATCAAGCGCAACTGCGATTCAAGTGAGAATCAGGATTGGATCCAATTCAGTGAATTGTATTAGGAAAATTTCCGATACTATTTTAGTGCTGCATGTTATTGTGCCCTTCAAATGTTTATTTTATATGTTTTATATAACATTTCGTGAATTTCATACTAAAAGAGGTCGTCTTCACTGTGATTCATTCCATTCTTTCGCTCTCATTGTCCATTCTTCTGGATGCGAAATTCTTTGCAAGGCACATTTCGGTCACTTTCTCTGGCAATCAGTAATTGAACCATGGAAATTTCGATCAGTTATATCAAAATTTGGAGCAGCAAGTTTTGAAAAGACTGACGAAACGACCAACGATGCGACAGTTGATACTCTTATCTCATTTTCCACACTAAATGCTTTCAAGCGAAAATGTTTGATCGTTTCAGAGAAACAAGCTTGAAAAGTTACTGAAACCGATCGACGGATGACTACTCTATCATCTGATTCAGCATTTTGTTCATTTGTTACTTGACCGAATTGTTTAGTGAATATTGAGATTTTTATTGAATTCAGTTCGTCTACGACGTCGTCAGACAAATCCAGATTCGGATCTCGGCATCGAGTATGGACCGAGACCATCGATTTCATCTCGAGGCGATGCACCTTCCCATCATCAACACCACCACCAACAACAACCAACGCTGAATCGCAGTTATCCGTGTGTTTATGACGGAAGTCAGTTCACCGCTATGCGTTCAGCTTCGTTTGCTGATGGAGCATTTCCTGATCAAGGTAAATGAATGGATCACTTCGATAGATTTTATTTTGAAAGCATTCCTTCGAAGAAGCTGAACTANGGTTTGCGAGTCTCAGGCACCTTCGACCTAACCCTATTTCAAATTTATTGCTTTTCTGTCACCGGATTGATAATATCACTGATGGTACCAGTGTATGACATTGACGAGTTCCTCGTGAATTGTGTGCTGACACAGCATCATTAGTTTTCCGGAGTTTTTTTCTCAATTTCGCGCTTTTGATCAAAATTTTGAAAGCAGTGCACAAATTTTGATAGATCCGAAAAAGTTTTCATATAATAGAGACATTTTTAGATATGGATATTCCGTCGTCAGTGACACAAACCCGTAGTACGGCAGTGGTTGGGCCGCATACTGTAACTGACCAACGTACTGTGCAAACCGCTGGGATTTCGAATGGAGATGTCCATTTCAGAGGTTCAATTTATTTCGTTTGAATCAGTTTCATTTGATAGTCAAAAATCAGATCTCTTTCTTAATGATTACTGCGCGATTTTTGAAAACGTTCAGCTCAACGGATTCCTGCATTATATCTCTTCAGACATTCATGAAGAATTTGAAAAGCGATCTGTTCTTCAGAATTTGTTCAGTATTGCTTCCAGATGGAAGAATTTTTTCGCTTTTTGCTGATTTTTTTCTGCTTCATGTCTTATCTTCTCATAATGTGGTAGTGTTTCTCACTCTCTCATGCTCCGTTCAGCCCTTTGGTCGCGTAGTCGATGACATTGCGCTCTTTCCCACAATCCACATGATCGAAACTACAACCTCCTTGTGCTAATAACCTGTCACATCTTGGTGATGGATCAGATGAAAATCATCAAATTGATAAACTGATGAAAATGTT